AACAAGATTATTACCTAAAGTTTCGGAATTTAAATTCAGGTAAAATTATGGTTCGTAATAGAAAATAATTTTATACCTACCTGTGTTAAATATTCTTTGGCTTGGTATACTACTTAGTTTAGGTTTATTAGTAATCATTCTTATTTCGTGTGTTGAATTGTGTGCGAATTATGCAGAATATGTGCGAGTCTAGTGCATCTCAGGAGATGCTCCCGCCCAAATGTAGAAAACACTATTCTGTTGAGACTAAGGACAATGTTTATTTGACTCTCATTGAACGTGGTGCCAGCAAGCAAGTGTCTTTAGAAAAAACGGCCACATTGACTTGGATGAAACCTGGTCCAAACACTTATGATACCCCGGAAATGGGTTGGGTTGACTCAACTGATAAGTGTAAAACAAACGTACCATCAAAAAGAGGTAAAAGAATAACTATTTTGCATGCTGGCTCTAAAGATGGTTGGATTCCAAATGGACCTTTTCTGTCTGCGAAAAATATTAAAGATTCTTCTCTGGATTATCATGGAGACACCACCGCTGATTTATTTGAAATTTGATTTAAAAACAAACTAGTTCTAAACATTCCTCCTAATAGCGTCATTGTAACACTTTTTATCGTTGGTTTATACCAGAAAGTCATATTCTGGTCTCATTTGAGCCACTCTTCGAACTTCATGGATATGTTGCACTTAAACCGCATTATGGTGACGATTTCTTATTGTTGACACAATAAAGCCGACATCACGAGCCGTTATGATTCGCCTTCTGCCTGTTACAGGGCACCTAGCAAAGGATCCAGTCTCATATCATCCCATCTCTTTCGATTAAAGCTTAGCAAGCTAACACAATTAAACGCTATCCAAATGGTTAAAAACGAATAATGTGAAAATTCCAGTTGCAAAGGCAATTAATGTAAGACTATAACAAGTTTGTTACTCTCACTATTACTACTGCATGAACACGTTTCATTTGTTTACCCGTAGCTAAGCACATAAAAGATCAGCACCCTCGACAAATTTAAACTCATATTGTCTTCCAAATAGCATGTTTATTTTTTGGGTCAGATGAATAGTTTCCAGAAAAAAGTATGCTAAGGTCAAAACTTTACAGTGGGCCGATTATATATATATATATATATATATATATATATATATATATATATATATATATATATATATATATATATATATATATATAGTTTTTACATCACAGACGCCTACGAGCACGCCCTAAATGTTTGGAACACGTTTAAAATTCAAAATTTACGGAAATAAATGGAATTATATCTGAAAACCGACGTACTATTATTGGGTGACGTATTTGAAAATTTTCGAGCGGTATGTAGAAAAACGTATGGGTTAGAATGTTTAAAATATTACACGGCTCCAGGTTTAGCATATGACGCGTGTCTTCTCATGTCCGATGTTCATTTAGAATTAATCACTGACATCGATCAACTTATGATGATAGAGAAGGGAATACGCGGAGGAATTTCGCAATGTTGTAATCGATACGGGAAAGTCAATAATAAATATATGGGAAAGGTTTATGATCCTAACGTTCCATCATCTTATTTATTGTATTTTGATGTAAATAAGTTATATGAAATGACTATGAATCAGCCCCTACCTACTGGCGGGTTTCAGTGGATCGATAATAGCGAATTTTATCCGGATTTGGATTTCGAGTATATATTGGAAATAGATTTAGAATATCCTATGGAATTGCATGATATTCACAAAGGTTTACCTTTATGTCCGGAACGCCTGGTACCGCCCACGGGTACATCAAAACAACCAAAATTATAAACATTATTCAAAAAAAAATTATGTCATCCAATATAAAAACCTAGAACAGGCTGTCCACCTAGGTTTACGAATCACTAAAATTCATAAGATCCTATTAAATTTAACAAATCTATATACGCCGGTTTCAGTATCCTAGAAATTTTCGAAACAATTTTGTACGATTTCCATTACAATTATGTCATTCCAAAATTGGGTAAGGCTGCGAAAATGTTGTACACTGATAGATTCCTTAATCTATCACTTTTTCGTCGATGATATTTACAAATACAATCTAGAAGACGTTCAGCAATTCGACACTTCCGATTATCCTCCAAATAATATTTATAAAATATCTCTCGCCAATAAAAATGTGTTGGGATTAATGAAGGACGAAAATAATGGTCCTCTCATGTTGGAATTTGTAGGATTAAAATCTAAAATATATGCTATAAAATTGTATCAGTCGACTTTAGAAAGGGGACTACAAGAAAAGGAAGATTCAGATATCACGAAAAAAACCAAAGGCATAACGATAACTTTTGAAAATTATTACGACTGTTTATTTAATAAAATCCAAATATATGCTGAGGAACATCTATTTCGTAGCGGAAAACATCAAATGTACATAGTAAAACAAAAAAAATCGCACACCTTTCGACGATAAAAGAGTAATTAATTACGTATTTACCGAAGTAGTTTTTTGGGACATTTCAGGTTTCCCCCACTCCTCTCCCTTTTTGTGGGCGTGTCCTCCTTCCCCACAACCCTCTTAGCTCCTCCCCCTTTACCCATAATCCCTTGAAACTGGCCCCCATTGGATAAGCAACCAGAAATGTGGGGTTTAATCAATCCCCCTCCTCTAGTTTGCGATGGCGGCGAAGCCAATCAGAGCCCAGATATTTTCCCACCCCTAAGAAAAGCAATGGCCTCAATGAGACTTGATCATATTGTTCGCGTGACCATCTGCACCCTCTAGCGGGTCGAATGTAAACTAGTGTCCCCTCTTGAAATAAGATTTTCTTTAATAAGGTAACCCCACCTAGTGAATATTGACCAAAACATTTATTTTAAAAACATATGGTTCGGCGAATGTTACCCTCGCGGGTACAAACTGTACTTTTTACTAATGCGCACAAATGACAGGGGAAATAAAGACGAAAAGTATTGGATTTCTTTTTTCGGAACTGGAAGCTGGCAGGCACCACCAATAATATCTGCAAAAACAAAAACATGGTTAAAATTTTCATTAATAAAGTAGGATATTAGAAACCATATACATTATTAATTTACTAAGCCATCTACCGTGCGTTAACTTCATACATATTTCCGCATTCTTCTGTTTTAAGGTATCGTGAGATATTTAACTATTTATCTGGGAAAAGTTCATATGTCGAAAATATTATGTGTATGTGGCCGTGGTAGGTTTTCTTTGCTATTATGATTTTATTTTTATTATTTAATATTTACAAAATTAATTTATCTATCTTATTGATGATTTTGGTTTTCTTTGCTATTTTATTATTTATTTTTATTATTTAATATTTTCAAAATTATTTTATCTATCTTATTAATGATTTTAAGATATCGCAGTCAACTTTACTATTTCATCAATTTCTTTTATTTATTGCTGATCTTTGAGGATAGTGTACATACTTTTTTTTTTTCGAAACTTCCTATCTATCCTTTAATTTCCTATCAACCCCTGAAACAAACTCGAAAGGCATCTTAACTAAAAAGTCATATACTTTAAAGCTGCTGCGACTACTACATGAAAGTGTGTTTCTATGGCAATCTCAACAATAATGAAATCTGGACGCTTATACTAAATACTGTAATACTCTTCTCTGCTAACGCTCTAGCAGACGCTATTTGAACCCCGTTCAAAGAAAAACTTCTACAGCCCAAATAACCTCTCTGAACCACACTTAAGCGCATCACTGTTTCACTGTCTTGCAGCCTTCAGATTAATATTCCGTACTAACTACGTATGCCATACACGAAACGTTCTCTTTTCTAATTTTTTTTCTATGCGCTACATTAACGAACAGGATCTGAACTTTTCTGTCTGTGTATTTTGTTAGCCACCTTAAAAAAATTAAAAAAAAGGTATGCGAACCTAGAGGATATTTTCCATATTTTTCACAAATGGTGACAACAATTAATGCAAGTATTATTTTTAATAATAATCCATCTTTCGCTATGACATGAAAACATCGATTTTTTAATTCTAACTTTTCTCATAGAACTTCCCTTTAGTCTATATCTGTTCTTTAACTAAATCCCCGCCTTTTTGAAAAACCAACCTCTAAAAATATTTCATTTTCTCTAATATAAATTTGTACATTTTCCGCAATATGTGTGAATATTTTTGCTAGAGCATTTAGTTACTCAGTACATGTCCTAATCAATATTTTAAAAATATAATTCTAATGATACGTGTTTACGATTTGAACATATCGAAACATTCCCCAGTTTTATAAATGAGAGCTCACTGCCAATCTACCAAACATCACAGTACAAACTACCGTACTATGCCCCCTGGACAAAATCAGGTTAGTCAGCGTCATTAATTCTACCTGCGTTAAAGAATAGCGTATTGTTAATGAAGGTTTAGTACGCAGAAGATTTAAGTAACAAATAATTGCAATGAAACTCACTAACATCATAAATTATTAAAAAAATTAGAACAGTTGGAATTTACTGGAGTAACCAATTTGGCACTAAGAATGGAAATTTTCGATACTCTACTAGGTGCCTACAATAAATTTTACTATTATTTTTAATGCAGAGACACAACGATTTTCTAGTTCTGAATTTGATCCGGGTATATTACCATACTTTACGCCGACTCTAAAAGCCATGCAGTCTAAGCAATCAGAGTTATTGAACGCCCCATTTTGTGTATTATGTTCAAAACAGAGACTCTCTGGGCTTACGACTACAGCTACCAGCTACTACTTTCAATAATATTAACACAAAAAAAAACTAGGTGGCATTTCTATAATACGTGCAAAGTTTATGTGAAACTGACTGGAAGACAGAGTAATGCACCAATATGTTACTAAACATATTTCCATAAAATTCCGTAAGAGCTTACCTCCAAGTTTTCTCATTTAGTCAGTCAAAGCATCAAATGGGAAATTCCAATCCACCTTATGTAGTGGTGGAAATATATCAATCGCCTTCGTTACCGATGGTACCCGACTGAAGCTTCCGCGTCTTCTTTACCCCACATGCCGACTTAAAAAGATACTGGTCTAAGTCTCAATATTCCTGTTAAAAAAAAGAGAGGTTCTATATTGCCATAAATATGCGTTTACAAAATTTTACCTGAATGGTTCGTGATTCCTTATATATGCAGTGTTGGCAGCAATGTGGCGACGACTACGCTGAAACTTTCCATATCTCGTGTCCCCATGACTGGTCTGTTTCATATATGAAAGCTCACCTCGCACGGGTTTGAACCTCTTTTAAAAAAAAAAACCGGCAAGACTTGTACTTATCATATCAAAGTAATATGAGGAACTTATATTTAATGCCAAAACTTATTTCATCACCTCCAAAGGGGAGTAGGGGTTTCTAAAGTATGGTAGGTACATCACCTTTTTTTTTTAATTAAAAAAGTGACATAATTACGCGACGTAACTCGATCCGGATCGTTAACGCGTCTCAAGAGGGGGTTTAGAGATGCCGAGGACATTAAATTGATTCACTAATACCAGTACATACTGAAACCCCTTATTTCCAAAATAAAAAATTGTTAACTGTTAACACACAAAAAAACTATTTTCTCACCAATTATATTTCTGGGGTCGTTTTCAGAATTTGTCCAACGTAGAATCCCAAGAGGATAGGGCCGCAATTTCAAAAAATGTTCATGTCTCCCCACTATGCATTTGTACACGAAGCAGGGCCGGATTAACAGCAATTATATTCTTGTCAGTCAACATACAGCCGCCGATTGAATTCTCGGATTCTGCTTTACTAGTTGCCATGGTCTGTCAAATATGTTACTTAAAAAATTGTATATTTTTTACAAATAATATACCTTTCCTAAAATAATTCCGCCTTTGTCAAGTTGGACAAGGGCACGTCTGTCCGCTTTGAAAAGCGCGGCGTACGTATCTTCCAAAATGATCCAAATCGTTAACCTTTTTTTTGATTTTTTGATTCCTCGTTAAGCAAATCTAAACGGAGCAGGCTCGGATTGTCAGCAAATACACAACTCGCCGATTCAATTCTGAGATGTTGCTTCACGAGTTACCATGATCTGTCAAATATTTTAATTAAAAAAAAAACTATTATTTAGCAACAATATATCTTTTTAAAAATAATTTCGTCTTTTTCAAGTTCAACAGGATACGTGTGTTCGTTTCGAAAGGTTTCGTAGTCTGTAGCTCTGTCGAATTCTCCAAAATTCGTTAAACCTTCAGATATTTTCAAAATTTGTCCAACGCAGACTTCCACTCACGCAGTTTCGAAAACTTTCTGCTCTCTCCGCCATGCATTTGTACACGAAGTAGGGCTGGACTATCAGCAAACAGCACATCCGTCATTTTTCTTCTCGGATTCCGCTTGACGAGTTACATCGATCTGTCAAATATTTATTGTAAAACAATCTTATCTATTACTTTTACTCCAATATTAAGTACCTATTCAAAATTAGTAGCGCCTTTTCGAGTTCGAAAGGTTTCGTAGCCTATAGCCCTACCGAAATGGCATTGCATTTGTACACGAAGCAGGGTCGGATTGTAAGCAAACAGCACCCCCCGTCACTTTTCTTCTCGGATTCTGCTTGACGAGTTACATCGATCTGTGGAATATTTAGCGTAAAAAAAAATTATCTATTACTTTTACCAAAAAGGAAGTACCTTTTTTCTTTAAAATTTGTTCGTCCTTTTCGAGTTCGGAATTTTTCGTAGTCTATATCGTCTGCCAATTGTCCAAAATTGTTGAACTTTCAGTAATTTTCAAAATTCGCCCCAACGCAGCCTTCCACGCACGCACGCAGTTTCGAAATCTTTCAGGTCTTCCTGCTATGCAATTGTACACGAAGCAGGGTCCGATTGTCAGCAAACAGCACCCCCGGTCACTTTTCTTCTCGGATTCTGCTTGACGAGTTACATCGATCTGTGGAATATTTAGCGTAAAAAAAAAATTATCTATTACTTTTACCAAAAATGAAGTACCTTTTTTCTTTAAAATAGTTCGTCCTTTTCGAGTTTGAAAGGTTTCGTAGCCTATAGCCCTGCCGAAATGTCATTGCATTTGTACACGAAGCAGGGTCGGGTTGTCAGAAAACAGCACAAGCGTCACTTTTCTTCTCGGTTTCTGCTTGACGAATTACATCGATCGGTCAAATATTTAATATAAAAAATATCTATTTTACCAAAAATACGTACTCTTCTAAGATAAATTAGCTCTTTTCGAGTTTAAGAGGACACGTAGGATATTTTATTATTACATTTTCCAGTGTCTATTAATTAATAAACAACAGAAGCTTCCAAATACAAAAATTTCAACATGAGTTTTTTTTCTTGAAACTTAAAAAGTTCTAACCCCTAAACCTAAATTTAAATTGTTATTATTGATATATTTCTATTCCGAACTTAACTCAATACATGCAAAAAAAAAACTAGCGAATGTTATTTATTATCTCCGATGGGTGGATGATTGAGAAACGTTTAAATAAATCTACCTTTCTGTCTCTCTTTTTCTATATAGGTAACTCATTCTCTCTATCTGTTACTTTCCACAATCCGAATTTACACTTTGTCCCCAAAAATCTTGTAAAATTTTATCTGCTTAACTTCTTCGCGTTGTTCATATGGCTGAATTTTTTGGGAGATATATCGTGCGTTATTTCTATGAAAATTCTGTTTCCTTTTTACCTACTTCAAAAACGTAAGCGAGCATTTTTGGTTGTTTTATTAAACAAAAATGGATACTAAAAAAGATCCGTATCTCCGACCTCAGCCTCCTTTGATCACTCCTCAATTTTTTTTTTTTTTAATTAAGTATAGAAACCTCGTTGAACATATACATAATACTAGGTCAAAATGTTACGCGGTTACTCATTAAAGTCGCAATTCCGAAAGCTTCTTACCTATCTTTTTCCAGTCTTTTTTGTTTTATTTATCCGTATATGAAATACACAATGAACACAAAACTTAAACTCGTTGGCGATATTGCATTAAGCAACAAACGTGGATAACAGAAACGAACCCTTAACACAAACGCTTCTTTAAACTTCGACTGACACGTGAAACAACCCGCATTCCTACGAAAGGCAGGTAAACCAAGCAGGTCAAATTTAAGATACCCTCCAGTGTCGTCGTAGGTTCGGGCATAGTAAATAACGAAAACAACAAAGCGGTAATTTTTAATAATTTAATTTGCATTTTATTTAACTTAAGTTGTTATGTAGAAAATGTGACATTTCTACAATTAATCAATATACTACGAGTACTTTTCCGCTTAATTACTACTTCGAGAAACAAAAGAAAACGTTAGATTCCATTCAAACTTTTTCGGTTTTCATAATATCTCGCGTTTATTTAGAAGCTAATGGCCTGTGGCCATTAACCAGACGCTTCCAAAGGCTGGTTTGATATTATGTATATAAATCTTAACAAACACAAAAAATAGAGTTATATTGCCACCGAAAATCTGAATTTATGTTTAAAAATGTAACTTCCCGTATTTAAACTATTGCCTGCATTGGCGCCTATATTTTATAGTTTTTTTTGTATCCTATTTTTTGTTTTGCTTGCAAATGTGTGTCCATTTTCGGGTACTGAATTTTTTTTTCTCAAATTATTACAAATTATTCAAAACGGAGTTAAAAACAGACGAGGAGAAAAGGGAAGAACCCTTATTTCTCCGACACTGACCTCCGATTTTTATAAAAATTGACGCCTTGACACCCTGCCCGTGAATATTTTGCAAAGGATTTTTAAAATTTAACTTCCAAATAACGCATACTCTCGCCTAGTGTCACAGTTTTGGGCCCCATTTTGCTATGGTTAGACAGGTTTATTCTTGTACATTGTCGGGATAAAAGAAGCATCTCCTTCATCCAAATTTACTTTTTCATACCTAATACAACAGCTCCCGGGCATCATCTCGCCTTAATTGTTTCTATTGAATTAATTTTAGTTACAAAAAATTAGATGATCGTCAAAATTGGCATAAAAAGATAATCAAGATTTAATTAAACAAGAATATGCACAAAAGAAAAGAGATAAACTCCGACACGGGAAACAAGGAAATATCGCTAAAACGGTCGATCGACTATTTGGTAGTACGGTTTTTATAATTCGACTTCATAAAACGAAGCTTTGATTTAACGCCCCTCCATATCTTCCAAAATATACGTAAGAGGGAAGGAACCACTTACTTTAACAATCTTGAAATTTTCGGGGTGTCCAATTAATTTCATAGCTTTTGCCAAAAACCGATTTTGTGCGACTTATGCTCACTGCATCGCCAGCTTTGAACTTTGACTTTTTCACTGCAAATTTTTTTTTGGTAAATTATAACGGAGAATCTCCGTTGTTGGGGTAATTTCTGAAGGTTTCATTCCGGTTGTACTATGTTTTGTTTGATTATATTTTGTTGTTATTCTTTTTTCTTTAATAAAGTTATTTTACGCAATTACTTGTTTTTTTTTTTACTTTTTTTTATGGGGGTAAGGATAAAACATACACACACACACTGAATTTTAAAAAACATTTATTATTATTAGTTTACAGGTAAATTTCTATTAAAACACAGGTATGTCCCATGCTATCCTTTGGTTGATATCTTGTTTCGAAAGGTTTCGTTTCGTTTCGTAGTCTGTAGCTCTGTCGAATTCTCCAAAATTCGTTAAACCTTCAGATATTTTCAAAATTTGTCCAACGCAGACTTCCACTCACGCAGTTTCGAAAACTTTCTGCTCTCTCCGCCATGCATTTGTACACGAAGTAGGGCTGGACTATCAGCAAACAGCACATCCGTCATTTTTCTTCTCGGATTCCGCTTGACGAGTTACATCGATCTGTCAAATATTTATTGTAAAACAATCTTATCTATTACTTTTACTCCAATATTAAGTACCTATTCAAAATTAGTAGCGCCTTTTCGAGTTCGAAAGGTTTCGTAGCCTATAGCCCTACCGAAATGGCATTGCATTTGTACACGAAGCAGGGTCGGATTGTAAGCAAACAGCACCCCCCGTCACTTTTCTTCTCGGATTCTGCTTGACGAGTTACATCGATCTGTGGAATATTTAGCGTAAAAAAAAATTATCTATTACTTTTACCAAAAAGGAAGTACCTTTTTTCTTTAAAATTTGTTCGTCCTTTTCGAGTTCGGAATTTTTCGTAGTCTATATCGTCTGCCAATTGTCCAAAATTGTTGAACTTTCAGTAATTTTCAAAATTCGCCCCAACGCAGCCTTCCACGCACGCACGCAGTTTCGAAATCTTTCAGGTCTTCCTGCTATGCAATTGTACACGAAGCAGGGTCCGATTGTCAGCAAACAGCACCCCCGGTCACTTTTCTTCTCGGATTCTGCTTGACGAGTTACATCGATCTGTGGAATATTTAGCGTAAAAAAAAAATTATCTATTACTTTTACCAAAAATGAAGTACCTTTTTTCTTTAAAATAGTTCGTCCTTTTCGAGTTTGAAAGGTTTCGTAGCCTATAGCCCTGCCGAAATGTCATTGCATTTGTACACGAAGCAGGGTCGGGTTGTCAGAAAACAGCACAAGCGTCACTTTTCTTCTCGGTTTCTGCTTGACGAATTACATCGATCGGTCAAATATTTAATATAAAAAATATCTATTTTACCAAAAATACGTACTCTTCTAAGATAAATTAGCTCTTTTCGAGTTTAAGAGGACACGTATCGTCAACTGTAGGATATTTTATTATTACATTTTCCAGTGTCTATTAATTAATAAACAACAGAAGCTTCCAAATACAAAAATTTCAACATGAGTTTTTTTTCTTGAAACTTAAAAAGTTCTAACCCCTAAACCTAAATTTAAATTGTTATTATTGATATATTTCTATTCCGAACTTAACTCAATACATGCAAAAAAAAAACTAGCGAATGTTATTTATTATCTCCGATGGGTGGATGATTGAGAAACGTTTAAATAAATCT